ACGTTTCCAGTGTGGCCGCGCCAGCCCCGCGCTCCCCGGCCGCAGTGCGCACTGCGCACAGGGGCTCGCCAGGCCGATTCGTGCTGTTTTTCTGCGTGGGGTGCGGGCAAAACTCTGTCCCGATGTGTCGCTTCGGCTGGAGATGGAGACAACCTCCAAAGCTTAAAGTAATTTCTCGTCTCCGCTTGGTTTCCCCTACTAAAGCGTTTTACGTTGGGCTCTGGTTTTTCTCTGGAGGAGTCTCCGCACTGCAATCTGCATGGACTGTAGGGGTCACCGTGCCATTTCTCTGCTTTGACAAGCTGTTATCTAATTATTGCGCCCCGAGGGTCTCTTTTGTGGCAATGTTAAGTTTTAGATAACTTACTTTGAACTCGTGTTTAGGACAAAATGAACACCGATACTTTCAAGCCGTGTTCTGTTGTAAGGAAGATAGGATTTTGATGCGTGCACTTTGGTAAAGCAGCTTTATGTAGTTGGACAGGCAGGGTTTTTTGTTTTCGTGTTTTTGGTTCTGTTTGCACTGAAGAGTTGTTTGGTGTCCAGTGATACTCTTAATTTTTAATCTCCAGCTATTGTGTAACCTTATCTTTTTAAACACCAATATTTTGGTTTTGTTTAAAAAAAAATGTTTTGAGATGCCCTATAGTGGAGTTTTGTGTGCAGAAGAGTCACAGTAGGGAAGCCAATTTTGAAGGATACTGAAGGAATGTTATCTTTTAAATTACAGAAAGCAATTACCCTTTTTTGGATGATAGAATCAACTTCAAGAGAGGAATGTGGTAAGGAAGCTAAAAAATATAAGGGAGACCAGTGTTTCTTTCTTCTGTCCGGTATTTGCAGATGTCATGGGTGATCACAGAAGAGCAGAGGTGCACTGCCCTGCACCCCTGTGCGCCCTGGGGTAGAGGGACTGGAATAATGCACTGTGTTGACTGAACAATGCCACCAGCTGTAGCAGTTGTCCCATTACTTAAGGCCTGGTCTCCAACACTGCAGACCCCCAGAAATGTCAGCTTTACACTCTGGAGATTTTTGAGGGGGAAGGGGTAAGTCCCGGCATGGGGGAGGGAGGGAAGGCAGGTGCTTTAGGAACGCGATGGGTTGTTTGGTTTTCCTGGAGCACCTGGTAGAATCTTCACTTCACCAGAAACAACTGAGAAGCCATTTTCCTTTCCTTGGTTATATTATATTCTTACTTGAAGTTGCCTTACTTCCACCTCACTCCTTCCCAGATTCAAACAAAGTAAAATCAAGAATAACTTCATTTAATATTTCCAACTTCATTTAATATGTCCATCCACTTTAATTGTGGCATGGCCAAGTTGAAAACTGAGAGTCACAGTAAAAGTGCAAAATGGCAGTAGTATAACAGGTCTAAGCTTGTCGTCTTGTGAGCTCATGGCAATATTATTTATTAGACATGCTGTGTATAAAATATATGAGCCAAGAAGGGTGGAACTGAAGACATGAGGGCATTTAGGAAATTGGAAGAAAGATTAAGTGTTGGAAAGTCATCATTAAAATGAAAAACTAGGAATTGGAAAAACTGATTTATACTCATTTAAATTCATAAAGAATAATGATAGTAATTTTCTCGTATGGGTAAAGTGCCCTTATTTTAAGAAGCTAAGAGTATTATATAAGATAATTATGTTTATCCTGATTTTTTAAATCCTATTTTAAAAAATATATGGATAGACCAACAAAATAAAATAACCTCCTGAAGTCAAACAGGAAGTTGTTGTACCTAGGATAGAACCTTACAGTAGTTTTACTGACAGGTAAAGTGTTTCATTGTATAATTTTGTGCTCCTATATTTTTCCTAAAATAGTTAAAAAGATGCGAGACCATGAAGGAGCAACTCCCATGCAGGTAGAGGGAGAGCTCCATGCCTCTCTAGACAGGAGAGGGATTAAAAGGCCCAGATTTAATAGACTGGGTTGATC